CTGTGGGATTCCTTACAGGCTCTAAGTTATTTAAAAGTGACGGATTTAAGGAAAACCGCCGTTTTTCCAAGGTTGCTCTCACTGGAAAGAGAAAGAAGCAAGGGTGGTGACTCATTTTGCTTTACGTTGCAGCCTTGGAGGGGGAACCTTTTTTGGGCTCTGCTGCCTTCTCACCGGTTGCTCCACCTTCGAAGAAGCCCTGGAGATGGCGTCCCACGGAGACAGCACCAAAGTGGACAAACTGGTGCGGGACATCTACGGGGGAGACTACGAGCGATTTGGGTTGCCGGGCTGGGCTGTCGCATCCAGGTAATGACTAACTTTTGTATGTATATTTTTATCTTTATATTTGATATTTTAATTTATTTTCATATTTTTATTTTCCTGGGAGATTCTGCAAGGCTGAAAATCTGGTTTGACTTGTCTTAGGAGAGCAGCCATTCCTCCTCCTGTTCTGGTTTAACAGATCTAAATCGCTTATGGCAGCGCTTTTTAAAAGTACATGTAAACACTTCTAATATGAATTACCTCGGTTCAATTAGCAGTTCCCATTTTCTCCTGGAATTGCGATGCAAAGGGACCTTTAACCCCCGAACTCTCCTTACAGCTTTGGCAACATGATGAGCAAGGAGAAGCGGGAATCCGTCAGCAAGGAGGACCTCGCGAAGGCGACCTTGATAACCATCACTAACAACATCGGCTCCATAGCGCGGATGTGTGCACTGAACGAGGTATTTGGGGCAAATCTGTTTAATGCTTCCTCTCTGGGGCATCCCTGGGGTGGTGCTGTCACACAGCAGCTCTGTTTCAGACGCTTCTGCAGATGTGTGTTCATGCTTGGCTTGTTGGATGTTCAGGAAGTTGAGATCTGCTCATTTTGGGTTCTTCAGTAGATTCTGCCCTTGCTCACAGAATCCCAGAATGTGAGGAGTTGGAAGGGACCTGGAAAGCTCCCCCAGTGCAACCCCTGCCACAGCAGGATCACCACAGCAGTCACACAGGAACACGGCCAGGGCTTTGGGTGTCTCCACACAAGGAGACTCCACAACCTCTCTGGGCAGCCTGGGCCATGCTCCAGAACCCTCACACTGACAAACTTTGGCCTCATCTTCAGCTTGAACCTCCTGTGCTCCAGCTTGGGACCACTGCCCCTTGTGCTGGCATTGGACATCCCAGAGCAGAGCCTGGCTACTTCCTCCTGACACTGCCCTTTACAGATTTATAAACATAGTGGTTTGGGCCAGATCGCTGCGCTGTGAAGGAATTTGGGGTTGGATCTGGGTCTCACGGGGTCCTCTGCTTCATCAGGAGTTACAGAGTCATAGAATCACAGCATGGTTTGGGTTGAAGGGACCTCACAGCCCCCCAGTCCAACCCCCATGGGCAGGGACACCCCCACCAGCCCAGGCTGCTCCAAGCCCCGTCCAACCTGGCCTTGGGCACTGCCAGGTAGGGGGCATCCACAGCTTCTCTGGGCGGACCCCACGGCTGTTCCTGTATCTTTGTGCTTTCAGCTTCTTTACAGTGCTGCCTTGTTGCATTCATGTCAAGCAGCATTGTACAGGGCTATGAAAGACCAGAGACTGCTCTTCGCTGCGCTCCCCTTCCTCTGGGATGTCCAAACTCATCCAAAACACGCTCCTGCCTCCTATTGCTCGTGGCAGATGCTCACAATTTACCTTTATTTTCTGCTGAGACCAGGCAAGATGTGTTAGAAACAGTCTTGCACACAACACTTCTGCTGAGTCCTCACTCTGGAGGACGCAGCTGAATGCAGAGAGGATGCTGGATCGTTAGGGGAAGGCGTTAATGAACGTGGGGATGGAAGAAAAAGCCATTCAGCTTTTTAATGATGAGTCAAACGTTGGAGTTGAAGATAGCACTTGGTGATCAGCCAGTGCAAGGATCTCATAGCCAAAAATCAACTGTTCTGTTCAAATTCCTAAGCTAGAAAGGCTGCAGCTACACCTCTGGATTTTGGGGTAGCATGGAAGAGCCTGGAGAAGTGCCTGTCTTGGTGTGACCCGGCTGGTTTGGCTTCCTGACAGGATTGTGGATGTTAAAATGTCCTGCAGATCCTGCCAGTGCTTTCAGCAGTCACTTAATTCATGGGATCGTAGTCACTGAGGTTGGAAAGGACCTTTAAGATCATTGAGTCCAACCGTTAACCTCACACCGTGTCCCTCAGCACCTCATCTCCCCGTCTTTTAAACCCCTCCAGGGATGGGGACTCCACCACTGCCCTGGGCAGCCCCTGCCAGTGCTTGACAACCCCTAAGGGGAAGAAATTTTTCCTAATATCAAACCTAAACATCTCCTTGCACAACTTGAGGCCATGTCCCCTTGTCCTATCACTTGGGAGCAGAGACTGACCCCCCTCGCTACCCCCTCCTTTCAGGAGCTGCAGAGGGGATAAGGTCTCCCCTCACCTCCTCTTCTCCAGTTGAACCCCCCAGCTCCCTCAGCCGCTCCCCATCATTCGGCTGCTCCAGACCCCTCCCCAGCTCCGTTGCCCTTCTCTGGCCACGCTCCAGCCCCTCAATGTCCTTCTGGGAGTGAGGGGCCCAAAACTGACCCCAGGATTTGAGGTTTGGCCTCAGCAGTGCCCAGCACAGTTCCCTTTTTCTGCCTTTCCTGTATTTGCAGAGCTGCAGGTGGTGGTTTTAAATCACTCTGAGCGTAACTTCTTTCTCCTCATCATCATTTGCAAGCAGAAAGTGGAATTCAGCCTTAATATTCCTTAACATTTTCTTCCTGGATACTTGCAGAACATCAACCGAGTAGTGTTTGTCGGCAATTTCCTTCGCATCAATACGATCTCCATGAGGCTCCTGGCGTATGCCCTGGACTACTGGTCGAAGGGACAGCTAAAAGCACTTTTCCTGGAACACGAGGTGAAATCACTTCTAAAATTCATTTTATCTCCTCTCAGAATTCCAGTCCTTCATTGAACACCTGGGTGCTCCGTAGCTCCTGATGCCACACAGCGGGTTCACAGAATCCCAGAATCCCAGACCGTTAGGGATTGGGAGGGACCTCAAAAGCTCATCCAGTCCAATCCCCCTGCTGGAGCAGGAACACCCAGATGAGGTTGCACAGGAAGGCGTCCAGGCGGGTTTTGAATGTCTGCAGAGAAGGAGACTCCACAACCTCTCTGGGCAGCCTGGGCCAGGGCTCTGGCACCCTCACTGAGAAGAAGTTTCTTCTCCAATTTTAAGTGGAACCTCCTGTGTTCCAGTTTGTGTCCGTTACCCCTTGTCCTATCATTGTTTGTCACCGAGAAGAGCCTGGCTCCGTCCTCGTGACACTCACCCTTTAAATATTTATAACCATGAATGAGGTCTCCCCTCAGTCTCCTCTTCTGCAAACTAAAGAGCCCCAGCTCCCTCAGCCGCTCCTCAGAAGGGAGATGCTCCACTCCCTTGATCATCTTTGTAGCCCTACGCTGGACTCTCTCCAGCAGTTCCCTGTCCTTCTTGAACTGAGGGGCCCAAAACTGGACGCAATATTCCAGATGCGGTCTCAGCAGGGCAGAGTAGAGGGGCAGGAGAACCCCTGTCCTGTGTTACTGCAACCACAGTTCCTGCAGCACCGGGTCACAAAAACCACGTGTGTTTGTCCAGTAAATCATACAGGAATTGTTTATTACCGAGTTTATGACCTTTCTTTTAAGACTTAATGATGGTTCTGTGCAGCTCTGCTTTCCAATACAGCCACTTTAGTTGGGATCTGTTTTGTAATGCACCTCCCTGTAGTTATTTCTTCCCACCACAAGTTGTTAAAACTCCGCTGTATGTGTAAGACTCCTGTTCTCGTGCCAGTTCTGTGCCGTAATTGTATTTTAATGGCTGTTCCTGTCTGCTCCCAGGGTTATTTCGGTGCGGTCGGTGCCCTCCTGGAGCTCCTGGATTCAGCCTGAGCGAGCAGATTCCCTACGTTGGACCTACGCCGTGGGGTCACAGAGCCCACGTTTCGCTTGGAAGCATCCGTTCAGCTGCTTGTGGGTGATGAGGAAAGGAGCAAACCCTGGTGTTTCTGTCCATAAACAGTTGAAACTTCAATTCCAGCGCAGCTGTGTTCAAAATCTGCTGAGCAGAGGTTGTGGTCGCTGGCATCAAGCAGCCTTTCGATGTAATCTGCTACCTGTTGATGGAGCTGATGGAGATTTCCACGCTGCTCCCTCCATCACGATCCCCTTGAGCGCTGAATCCCAACCTGGTTCTCACAGTTCACAGAGCTCAGCTGCGGTGGTTTATGTTTCACATGTGAAAGTTGTCACGGGCTTTTTGTGCTGGAAATTGTAAAGGGAAGGGAAATCAGCACAGCTCTGGCGCATGGGAGGCATCTGCCTCCTCCAGCCCACACCATGGCCTGGTAACACCGCTGTGCTCTCAGCGAGGCTTTAATTCCCCGTGGTTTCTTGCCTCTGTGTACAGATGATCAGAAGGTAAGGTACAAATCCTGTGTCTCGCACAGCCTAAACCCGCTCAGGTTGATGGCAGTTTGAGCCTCTGAGCTGGAGATCTCCTGAAAGCAAATTTGAAGATCGAATAGAGGGGTTGCTTTGTTGTTTGTTTCTCTTCTTCTCTGTTGTAAAACTTGGCTGCATTTACCTGTACCAAAGAGATTCTTCGTTTTTCAGTGATACACTTTTCAAAGGTCCAGTTTATTGTCTATTAATTGCGATACTAACGTGGTTTGTGGGGAAATCCTCTCCTTCCCATCCTCGTGCTCTGTTTTCTCCGTGCGCTGCAAACCAAGTGACTGCGGCTGTGAACCCCTGAAGACCTCGGGGGGTGGAAATGAATAAAGACTCGCTCGAAGCAGCAGGAAGAGGTGGTGGACAGGGGTTTGGAAAGGAGCAGCAGCACCCAGAGGGTTTGTGGTCTGCGTTTCCTTCCTCTCTTTGCCCTGCTCTTTGCAGAGCATCCCCGTCTGGGGTTTTGTGTTACGAAGGTTGTTAGTGCAAAGGCTGTTGGTGTTTTTCTTTCCCTGTGCATCGGTTACTGCAGCGTAACTGCAAATACTGGCTTGGTTGCATGATTCCTGCCTCATTTTTGGGCCTGAAAAGGGAAGACACTTCAACTTCAGAAGACATCATCTCTCCAGGTTGGATGCTGTGTGGTGTTTCTCTGCCCCGGAGCTCGGCTGGGTCAAGGCTCCAGGCAGCAGACGCAGTGTGAAGGAAAACATTTCCTAAACCGCACTTAATTGTGGGCCTGGAGCTTCCCTAATGGGGAAATAAATGGGGGGACAAAGGAGTAACGTTGATGTGAAGGGTCAGCCTTGCTGCGTGCTGTCTGTGTAAGGAAATTTCTGTGCTTTTCCTGCCGTGTAGTGCAGGTTTTGGTCAAATCCTGCTCCATATTCAATGTAACGCGGTACCTTAGAGGCGAGGGGTTTGCGCAGGATGATACGGAGCCCTTTGAGGTGCAAGGGGCCTCAGAGATCAGCTCAGCACGGGCAGGGACTTCTCCCACCACGTTCATCCCCAGGGCATCCACGGCTTCTCTGGGCAACCTGCGGGAGCTGCTGCATCCGAGACCTCATCCACTCCAGCTTGACTCCAACCAGCAACACATTTTGCCTTTTGGAAACGTCCCGGTGCCCAGGAGCTGCTTTGCTCCTCGGGAGCTGGAGGCTGACGGGAGGACGAAGCTGCCATCAGATGGTTTTGTTTCGCAGAGGGAAGGAGAGCGGAGAAACCAACGCACAGCTCAGGAACCTCTGCAGCAGCCCCGTGGCCACAAGAAGTCCCTGTCCTGAGGCGGTACCGGGCCGGTGGCGCTGGGAGCAGCATCCCACGGGTGTCCCCGTGTCCGTTCTGCGCCCTGCTTCGTGCAGCTCCATTCTTGGTGGATTCGGAGTCACTCCTGTGCAGTCCCATACCCAGCACCAAAGTCCCCGATGTATCGTGCGTATTCTCTTGTAAATAGCTCTCTTTTTATTTGTTCTGTTTTCTTCTTGTAATAAAACATCGCAGTTATTTTTATATCCTCGAAACCCTTCTCTGCTTCCAGTCTCGTCCTTCCTACCCCCAGAGCCGAGGGCTGCACGTTGAAATGGGTGTAAATGAGTCCTTCGCCTTCCCGTTGGTTTGTAGAACCTTACTCAAAATAACTCTTGCCAATCCTCAATTACTTTTCACTCCCCACGTGGGTTCTGCTCTCTGGACAGCAGTTGTGTCTCAAATAAGGTAA